TCTTTTGCTATATTAATGAATCATAGCAGAGCTTTCCACATTATCTGCAATCACCATGGAGAAAATGGGTTTCAGTGTACATAGTTTCTGTATAAATAGTGCATCTCCAGCACATTCTGTAAGTAAGTAGTGTCTGATTGCATAATAATAACAATAATAAAGAGAGAGCTGTCCAGCGTGCACATGGGCCAATTAAAGGATCAAGTGCACGAGGCTGCAGCATTCCTGGCAGGGGAGCCAGGGTGCCTGGCTTACCAGTGCCCTCCCCTCCATGCCTGAGCCTCCCACCAGCCCTCTGGCCGCAAACCATGGAGCCTGGAGACCTTTTTCCCTAAATCCTTGCATGGAAGCAGGTCATGGGGACAGCACTGCATCCAGAGTTTTAGAGGCTCCTGGCAGAAACCATGGGAAACGTGCTTGCAGCACGAAGGCACAGCTTACTGGTTTGGGTGAAGCTTCAGCACTTGAGCAATTCCCAGTGTGCCTCACAGCTTTGCTGGGCAGGATTTTCTCTGGCTGGAGGGACCAGACCTAAGCTCCCCTGCGTGCCATAGGTATACTTGAGAATTCACGGAAAGCTGGAGGAATGTACTTTATGGGGTGGCTGGATCATATGTTTATGGCCTGAAATAGGAGATCCCAACCCAAACCACTTTGTTGGTTTCTAATGGTGAGAAGCAGAATATGAACATCATATAAATTCATGCTGGGGAGTGGATATGAAAAGAGAATGTGGGCAAAACCTGGGACAACCCACGGCCTCGGTAGCTGCCTTGCCATTAATTATGGCTAATGGGCTAATAAACACCTTCACATTTAATGCACTGCACATCCAGCCTGTGGAAACTCCCTTACAGAGATGACCCAGAAGAATTAGACAAATTAAACCCCAGGATGGTGGAATTATGCATTGCTAACAACATTGGCATAAAAGTAGTAGAGGACTGAGCGCTCTGGATTCCTACAGACAATCATTTACCACCCAAAAGAAACTTCTGGCAGTTGATAAGATTCATAAAATACTTTTTGTACCCTCAGGAGAAGTGGGTGGTCACAACTATTCTGGTGTGGGTGGAAGGGCTCTTCCATGTGAGTGCTGGAGTGGGCCAGGTGGCTGGAAACACAACACCTGGGCTGTGATTTCCCGGGCACATCCCAGCCCAGACACACGCATACTAATGCACTGCTCAGCTCATACTAATGCCCTTTCCAGAGGATAATTGCATGCACTGCCCCGAGCATAACGGGCCACTTCAGGGAATGAGTCTGCTCCTCAAGAAACAGCCACTTACTCCCCTCTCAGCTCTGCAGAAGGGCAAATGTCCCTGGTTCAGGCCTTGGAAATAATGAGGTAAAATGGACTTGGCACCGTTAAAACCTCCCCAAAGACAGGCCGGGATATTTGAATATCTGATTGGGAAAAACCTATGGGCAAACACAGCCTGCCTGGACAGGACCCCTCCTCCCACAGAGCCATGGAAAAGGCTCCCAGGTCACAGAAGGAGAGCTGGGAATTAAACATCAAGTAGCCTGCAGGGATGCTAGAAAAAACCCAGGAGCCAAAACACAGCTGAAGACACTGAAAAGGGGGTTCTGCAGGCAGTTTGCAGCACTGCAGTTGGAAACCACGGTTTTCCTTGTTCTCCCAACAAAACCAGGCCAACAGTAGGACAACCAGGCCCACCATGCTGGCTTTCCCAAACGGTGGAGCATCTGGGCACTGCTAGGAAAACAGGCAGCTCTTTATTTTGGAATCCTAAATACAGAACCAGTGCCTAACTTCAGATAATCAGAATTTTATCGTCTCTACAAAGACCTTCCAAAACACAAATGATCACCATGAAACCAGGGGTTGCTTTTTATGTTTTAGCCTAACTTACTGAATCCAGACTCAAAAGTTTCTCAGTACCCTTGCCATTAATTAAAATTAAAAAAATATATCTTGTGACCCTTTTCTAAGGAAAAACAGAGCGGATGTAGCTCTGCTGCCCTGGACACACTTATATTTAACTTGGTTCACTCCCAAAGGCCACGATCCAACCAGATACTCAAACACCTGTATAACTTAAATACACTTTTAAGTACTGCTCTGAACTTTGGTAAAAGTAGGGAAAATAAATTCTGTTAAAACACCACTTTATTTCTTTCAAATCTGATTTTTTTGAGAATCTTGACTGCAATGCATCACGTAAAGTATTTCCTTCCTCTTGCAGAATATTTTAATATTAAGCCAGATATTTTTATATTTCCACAAATTAAATGCACCATGGCTGAAGGTTTGACAGAAGCTCTAATTTGCACATAAAAAGGTAGAATGATTTCAGTTTTGACAGCACAAGCTTTTGATTTGTTAATAAAGGCAATTCTTTCTCAATTGTGAACATACTCCCCAAATAAGACAATGTAGTTTGTAACAAATAAAAAAACCCAACATCTTCCTGGCATGGAGACTAAACTTTTGATCCAAAGTTATTACAGAAATTCAGATTTTATAAAAATAAAAGAATGAAACTTTTGCATTCAAGATTTAGTAGCAACAGAGCAGGAATCAGAGGAAGAGATGTTCCTGCCACATTCTCTGTACCTGTTGTTAGTAACCTACCTTCAACGTATTTGGATAAAGTTCATTGCGAGAAAGTACCTGTGAAAGTTGAAGTAGTTTTGGAGGCTGGGGGTGAGAAAGCCATGTGGAAATAGTTTTGGTAAAAATTAACACAGATTTTCCTGTGATGTTCTAATCAAACTGCAATCTAAGAATACCAGGATTTCAGACTCTTGTGATGAAACTCAAGTTTATAAACCAGGATACAACCAAGGCCAAAGCCAAGGCCAATTTACAAGAGGCCAAGCCTTCAGAGTGACCCTTGGAGCCCATGTCAGAGCTCTCCTTTTCCCCTTAGAGACCACAGAGGAGGAGAGAGCACAGAGCTCCAAAACACTCTGGGCAGAGCCAGCTTAAGCATGGAAAAAAAAATAAAATTTGGATTTCTGATCTCAGATCAGATTATTCTAAACTTTTCCCTGTGTGACAGCCAAAAGCTTCAGCATGGAAGCAAAGCTCAAAGAACCCAGGATCCATTTCAGGATATAAAAGGGTAATGAAGGACTCACCCACGGTCCTGCCAAGGCTTTTATGGTCTCGGCATATACTTTGCCCTGGCATCAAAAGTTGATTAAAGCTTCTCAACGAGGTGAGCAACGTGTCCAAACAGCCTGAGGCACAAACCAGCCTGTGGTGTTACTAAAAGCCCCCACTTTTGAGAGCTGACACTACCCCAGACTGCAACTCAGGGCTGCTGGGTACCACTTGTGTGGGCACAGGCAAAGCGATGAGCACACGCCGTGAACGTGCCTGAAGTGAGATCCAGCACCTCCCACGTGTTACTGGAAAACCCTTCCTGGACATCTGCAGCCATGGCACGGAGCTGGGGACTGTCAGTCACTGGGGACAGTGGTTACTTACTGGTGATTGGCAGCAGCACATCCTGCTCTAATGCAAACTGAGCCCATGACACAGCCTGCGAGCAACCTTTCACTGTACTGCATGTGGTGCTTTGCACTGACACCAGACACAGTGCTCTACTGGCCCACAGTCCTTCCATTTAATGCAAAAACTCTTGATTTTTGTAAACTTCTAAGCTTGTGCTGGAGGAAGTAAAGCAGTTCATTATTTAAAGGCATTTTTGTTTTCCAAACAGTGTCCCCTCCTGCTTTTCTTTGCTTGCATCTCACCACAGTTGCCTCCTAATCCAGTGTTGGTGAAACAAGGCTGAAGGTATTTTGGTCATGTTTTCACACTTGTGATGTACAGTTGCCTTGTCTCCTTCCACTTTCCTTCTGACTACGCTCTGCTTCACAAATGCAGCCATCTGGCACAACATCTCAGTTTTTTCTATCGACACCTGAGTAATCAGAGCCCTTTTTTTCTCTCTTTTTTGTTTTTATTTTTAAATAAAGCAAGTGTTTCCAGTGCCAGTGCCCAGGGTTGTATTAGGCAAACCACACCCCATTAATGAAAAGCAGCAGAAGTGAGAGGTCACTGGTATTAATGCTAGCAAACATTTAAGGTGAGATGAGATGGGGGGAAAAAGCACCCAGCATTTTCAAAGAGACTATCACAAGTCATCTCCAGCACTTTGTTGCCTTCACATCGGTTTACAGCCTCAGGAATGGTTATTTTAAAACTTAACCTCCTTCAGGTTTGTGCAGTAGTGGCACCCTGGCACAAAACCTGTGGGGCACCAGGGATGGCACGTGTGGCACAAGCCAGAGCAAATCCAGCTTGGAGTGGTAGGAGGGCATTTAAAGAGCACTGAGCACTCATGAGGTATTTCCATATATTGTCAGTGTGAAATATATTTATGAAAACATTGATGGCGAAGTTGTGGCCCCAAAAATATTACCACACATTGCTGTATGGTCAAAATTGCATTCCAAGAGATTTTTTTTCCCAGCCTTGTCTCAAAGGACATCTCTCAGACTTACTCTGTCTTGCTAACACTCACCTTTCCCATGCCAGAAATAAATTTGACAGTGCTGACTTGATCTCCATCTGGCTGCCATCCCCTCCACACATCTGATCCTACCCCTGAACTCTGTCCCTCTTGAAATAAAAGACGGGCACCACCCCACGGACCAACTGACCTGGAAACCCTGCACAGAGATACATGGGCAGTGGAGCAGCTGTGCCAAAGGACACTCACAAATCACACCCTCTGGGCACTGGGACAACTGGCAGAGAGACAGAACACAAGGGCTGCCTCTCCACCTCCCTCAGGCTCCCCGCCCGACACCACTGCGGTCTGTGCTGAGGCACCTCTGCACCACCTAAACCTGCTGCTCCTCTCACAGGCCTCTCGCTGCAACCCTTCCAAGCAGGAGGAGTTGGGGCACTCAGGAGCCAGGAGAACCATCTCCCACCAGCTCAACAGAGCCTGAGCAGGGGCAGAGGAGCAGAAGAAGGATGGGGGATGAGGGGCAGAGTTCCTGTATGCACCCACCTGGCCAGTCCCTTGGAGCAGTGCAGCACGGTCGGGCAGGAAGCAACCACAGCAGCACCTGAAATACAGACACAAGGCCTCAGGCACGAGAGCTGGTGCCCCATCCTCCAAACTGTCCCAAAACACAGGCATCAGCAGTGTGATTTTTGCTGTCAATATCAGTGTGGAAAGTGCCATCAATAATGTGCCAGTACAGTTCAGTAATGACTCTACAGACTGAACCTGCACTGGAATCCCTGCTTTTTCTTCCCATTTGTTTTAAACAGAATTTTCCAACAAGTGCACTGGGCATCTATGCCACATCAGCTCAGGGACTGTCTGCTTTGGTGGGTTAAAAAGGATTTTTTGATGCTATGAGCTTCCTCCCTCTGTGAGTGGTCAGCAGGGGCCACAGCATCCTTTTTGGGTGGATTTACAACTCACGGAGATGCCAAAGGGGAGGGAAGACCTTTGACATAAAAAGTTCAGTCTAGACCCCTTCAGAACCTGAATGCAAACTCAGAACCAGACTAGGACAATCTGGACTTGGGTTTGTGAGAAATACCTGGTTTTCAAGACACAGCCACCTGGAAGATTCCCTTCTTCTCTTCAACCTGAAAAGAGAGATGGAGCAGTTAATGGGGGAAAAGAAAGGCTGTGAGAATGACAAGCTCCGTGAAAAGTTTCTTTGCAAATAACAGTTTAACACTAAGAAGTTAGGTTAAAATGGTTTCAAAGCCTAAAATTAGTTATGTTTTAAACTAACAGCATATGCTTTTATTGTCTCTGATCTAAAATATAATCCCAGGAGGCTGTGAAAAGCATGCAAATTACGGAAAGCTAATTTGCTCCAACAGCGACACCTCCCATGTAGTTGGGAGGTCTATTAGACCTAGTGTACTCTCCATTATTTGCATATTAATAGCACCTGCTGAAATACTTTGGGATTTACTTTTCCTGCCAGCAGAGGGACAAAACAAACAAAAAATTGATATAAAATTCCTTTCCTACAGATTTGATGAACAATAAACTATTTAGACCATGTGAAGAATGCCAAATTAGTGAGAGGCAATGGGGTGGGACTGTGACACCATCTGGGATTTTCAGAGAAACTGGACTGCAAGTCTGCTTAAAAAAATAAAAAATATCCCAAACCAAAAAAACAAACAACAAAAAAGGCCTCTCTGGAAAGTGCTGGGTAATTTGAAATCGCTCACTTGGCTCAAGTCTGAAGAATGGAAAAGTTGAACTAAAGAAATCCAGACACTGCAGCAAGTAAAAAAAAAAAAAAAAAGACAAAAAAAATCCTACACATCCACAAGTCCTGAAAGCAGAACCCCCCAAAGTGGACCTTGATTAAAAATCTACAAACCCCCAGGCTTTGATATTAGCCAGGCCTGCAAGGCCTAGTCTCCTGCACATAAAACAAAAAATAAATTAAAACCAGCTACAGCCTGAGATTTACTTAACAAGCCAACTTCCAGTCTCTGCTCATGACCACTGCTTCCCCTTCTGGCCCCCGAGCTATAAAAAAAGCCCCTTGTATATTCCTATAGCTCATCTTCCTCAGGGTGAGGGTGAGAGCAGCTTCCTTTCCACAGTAGCACATGGAAAAAGCTCCCTTTGCAGCGCCAGGCTGAGCCAGAGCCGCAGGCTGGATGTGTAACGTGTGCCTCTCTCTGCAGAGCGGAGTCAGGAAGCTGACCAGGGAGACAGGGACATTCCCCAGCACCTCTTTTTCCAAACAGGCAATTGGTATTCCTAAAGAAGCGCCAGCCATGTGCTCATATTCCCTGCAAGAGTTACAAGGGGCCTGTATTTCTCCATATTCCCTCTGCTTTAATTCCCATTATGCACCCTCTTTTACATAGGCACGGAAAGGCCCACCAGAGTTAACTTACTGCTGGTGTGCCAAATTTCTGTAGCATTTTAACTACCTTCATATTCCCAAATGAAGGAAGCAATTGACTTTAAGTTAAAATGATTAAATTGTTCTGTACATATTCAAAAAGTAGTGAAAGGGAGTTTAATGCGGGACAACAAAGCACCAAAACCTGCGGCAGCAAAGCTGACTCCGTCCCTTGGCACCGTGTGACCCACGTGAGGGAAGTGGGGAGAAGAAGGGATGTTACTGAAAAATATATTATTATTGGCCTCTTCTCTCTTCAGTACAGAGCCCAACATGTCTTTCAGCTCTGCACAGCCAAGTGAGACCTATGAAAAACGTGCTCAGTGTCAATGGTAATTACCGGAGGAGGCAATCAAACATTACAGCAACGGGGACCCCTGAAATGCTGCACACAGACAACTCCCACCATGGCTGTCAACAAATGCTCATTCTCATTAATGTGTGTGTAACTCCGAAATGCTGCAGCACTGGTAGCTATTAGTATTAGCTGGTAGCTAATTAGTAGTAAGTAGTAGAACTAGTTAAAGTTGCAGGATGGCAAGTGGATGCAAACCGGAGGGACTCGGCTCTGAGCTTGTGATCACTGTTGGTGATAATTTTCAGCACATTTTTCCAGAGTCAAGAACCTCTAAATAGCTGGAAGGGAAAGGGGTGACCAGAACAGTTGCTGGGAGGCCTCAGTGGGTCAGGGCACTGAGAAGCAGAGCTCCCTCCTTGTGTTTAAGGTACCAGCTCGAAACTGTTAAGAACTGAGCGTTGCTGTCATTCAGATGCCCTGTAAAATGAGTTTGTACTCCATTTCTAGAAGAGGATCTGCCTCCTTTAACTTTCCTATGTACCTGCTGTGGGCTGGTCATGGATCCTGTGCTTCAAGAATGGCAGGAGCAGGCACAGAGCCTCAGAAGGGGAACCTGGGATACAGCAGGGCCTGGAGACATGCCTGTTACTGCTGCCATGTCCATGGCTAAAAACATCCTGTGCTGCCTCACAGCACTGCCCCAGTCTCTCTGTAAAGTGTTCTTCCAGTCACAGAGAGCCCTGTATTTGTAATGACAGCAATAAAAATAATAACAGTAATAATAATAAAAAAGCCACCCTAGAAAGCAAAACCCTATTATAATATTACCTATTATAACAAATTGGATGTTCCTTACCTGAAATTTCATGAGCAATTAGCAAACAGAATTATCCACAAACCTGTGTATGCCCTGTTATCCTTGCAGTGGTTTCAGCAGCCACATTCCCAGCCTGCAGTTTGCTATCCAGCAGCTTCCAAACCACAGCTTTTTCTTCTTTTTTTTTGTTTTGCATCATGAAGTTCATGGCAGACAATGTTTTACCACCTGCACACTGGGGGAGAAAAAAAAGCAAGGGGGAGAGGATCAATATATACAGTATGTTTATATTCAGCAAGAGCGTGTTGCAGAGTGGGGAGCTGTGATGTGTGTGTTGGCATTGTGTGGGAAAGGATCCTTAGTGGCACTGCAGCTGGAAAAATTAGTGGAAGATCAGGGAACTGTCCTCAGTGACAAACTTTCATCTGGCAAGTTACAATTCTGTCGTAGGAAATGATACCTTAGACTGCAGCTAATTTGTGAATCCCAGAAAAGGCAGATCACTGATTCTTCATCAGGACTGCAGAACCTGATCTATAAAAATTTGGGCCTCAGCAGGAGGTTGTGTCTAAGTGTGATTTGCATTTCAATTCTTAGTGCACCACAACCTTCCTGCAGCACTATCACAATGGAAGTTTTTGGTCTCAGCGTGCTCAAAATACATATCAAAAAAACAAAAAATCCTGGTACAATGGCAGCCAGTTGTTAATGGGAAGGGAAGTGGCATTTATGTTTGAATTGTTTCACGAAACACCATTACATCAGAGTCTTTCATCATTTTGTGGGGGATCGAGTCCCCTGACACCATCTTCAGGGACCTCAAGTGGTGCTCATCACTATCATTCCACTTGCACAAACACCCCAGCCCTTTCAATTTTTATCTGCCAGAACCCAGAATATGTTACAGTATTTAGTTTTTGTTCTATGTGAAGAATTCACAACAAATAAAAGCCATTTCCCTGAAAAAACAAGGCTGTGAGTGACGGTTTAGGGAATTTCAGGCAGACCCCCTTTGCAGGAGGGGCAGCAGCTCTGCCGTCCCTCCCGCTGACTGATGGCACAGCTCCAACTCATCCTACATGGAGCAGCCACCAGCACTGGCAATGATGCTCACTTGTTTCCCTAAAAAACTGTCTGGGTCAAGCTCTGAACCCTGTGTATGTGCTGGAGATGAATTATTCATAGGAACAGGAGGGTTTCCCTTCACTGCCGCTGAATCAGGGAGAGGGGTTTGCAGAGAGAGGTAAAAAAATCCACTCCGGACTCCTTTAGCCAAGGAAATGTTCCACGTCAAACCCTCACAGCCTCTTAACCCAGTGTCAACAGAGACAGGTCTTCATGCCCTTCCTGTGTGCTTGGGAAGCCAACTGAGCCAAGCTCTCTGAGAGGAATTCAGTGTGCAGAGCTGTCCACGGGCCAAGGAAGAGGGTTATTAATGTTCTGGCACAGCCCTGCTCCCTCTCCTTGCTGCTCATGGAGCCAGCTTTTGTCCTGAAGAGCTACACATGACCACAAATTCAAATTTACATTTATTTTTGCCATTTGATCCCTGTTTTCCTATGTGTAGAATATTACTGCCACTTACTCAGATATGGCTAAACTCAACGACCCTTTCCAGGGACACATTCTCTAGCTGATTAAATTTCCAGGCTCCAAACCTCAAAGCCCAAGTAAAGGGTGCAGGAGTGTGTCTGCCACATCAACATCCCAAGTGTGTTTCCAAGTTTCTTTCTGCTTTTGCTGTTGACAGGAGTTTTTAGTGACTTGAGCAGGTAGAGGCTGAATGCAGGGCATTTTTTTCTACCCATTTCAATCCCTCTCTCATTAGAGTGTTGCCATGTTGGGGCCCAGTGATTTGTTTCCCTGCACAGTGCTGCGAGCTGGCATTTGCAAGATTGCAGCACTTTGACTGTGAACTTTCATACCAGCTGCTCCCCTGTGACAAATGGAAATCAAAGCTCCACACTGAAGGTTGTGGCTCTTCTTGGAACACACTGAGTGAAGTGAGTTGTTCCATAAAGGAAAGGCCAAGCTTTGGGGAACTCCCTCCTGTATCCCAGTGCCTCTATTCAGAGACATTTATGGGGAGTGATTCTGCAATAAGACACTGACCCTCTGGGATTTCTGGCCTGGGACAATCACTTACTTTTCAAAATGTTTGCTTTCATTCCCCTGAGTGTCTGAGAGCCCAACAGGAATATTTCAGGCTGAAAAAGAAGTCTGGTCCTGAACTTCGTGCTAAAAATAAATAAACAAAAAAACCTTCACTCAAATGCAGGATAAATAATTTTTTCTTTTCTTTAAGGACACTTGTTAAGAGCACAGAAAGGAGTCAGAAGTACGGCTTTTACTGACTGCTCTGCAGCTCAACATCTCTGGCATTCAAAACATACAACTTCTGTGTTTGTACTACATTTCCCTAACAGCTTACATCGAGGCCAAACACACAGCGTTCTGCAAAGGTCCTCTAAAATAAGCTTATTTAAAAGAGCAAGGTCAATGCCCAACACATGTCAGATTCTGTGAGCAGAAATCAAAGAGTTCGGAGCAAATGGAATATGTCAGAACTCGGTGGATTTCCATGCCAGGCTCTTTTACCAAGTTCACTTTGCTGCTGCCAAAACCAGTAACAATCTCATCATATGGACTTCAGCTTTGGAAAAGTGTCTGAAAAAACCCCCAGTCTCTGTACATGGGCCACTTAGCTCAATAAATAAAACTAAGGCATAAATGTGTTTATCTGGACATGCTATTTATTGTCCCTGTAACTGTATTTTTCCTTTAATGGGACACACGCTGATTCCATGCTTCAGCCCTAGGCTCTATTAAAATCAAATTAAAAGCATTAGTAATGTAGTTAATTCCATTTATAACATGGCCATCAAGAGAAAAGAGAATATTAAAATAGGAAAAAAAATATAAATGGGATTTAATTTATTTTTTTTTAAACATAGTTCCATTTTGATCTCTGCATTTTTTTTAATAAAAAAGAGAAAACTTTTTCCTCTGTTCAGATAAAGTAACTCTGCCCTGGTCTTTTAAACCATATCTTGCAGACTGATATTTGTGATTTCAATTAAAATATGCTATTGTCACTTTAGCCTCCCTCTTTGGTATTTTAAATTGATCCTAATGGCTTTGCCTTAAGTGATTTGCGTCCCATAGTGAATCCCTGTCACTTACAGCACCTCCCACTACTGCCCTCCCGAATAATCACTACCAGATAATCGCTCCTTCCCCCTTCTCCCAGCGTTATTCCCGCTTCCCCCCGACTCCACATGCTGGTACTGGCTGCGAAGTATTTGCTCTTTACCATCTTTAACATATGGCTTGTTGCTCTGGCACACAACAGTCAAGGATTTAAAAGAAGGATAAAAGCTGCATGAAAAAGCCAAACTGGTGGCTCTGGAGTTCGGCTTGTGTGTCTCCGGCCTGTTTTCCAGAGGGTGAGGAGGAAGGGAATTGGGTTGGGATTACCACGCCTCCAGCACTGTACTCACAGTGTAGATCCTGGCAGGTGCTCACACGGCCCAGGTCCACTTGCTGCTTCCTAACAGAGCTCTGTGAGATGGACACCATCAGAGGAGAACCTGTTTAGGAAAGCAAAATTCCCATTGGGGACTTCCCACCATCAGCAGAGCCCCTCAGGTTTTGGCTGGGAGCTGCCCCTGCCCTGTCCCTCCACATCCCAGCCCTTGCACACCCTGGTGTGCACAGGGAACCACGAGCCTTCTCCTCCTCACAGGAGGGTCCTTTCTCCTTTGCCTTTCATGGATCTCATTATTAATTGAAGAATCATTTAGTTTGCATAACTGTCCTCTGGCATACATAATTCCAACCTTTCCCTTTAAATTGGCTTATTCAACTAAATACAGTCTTCTGTTTTTGTGGCTCCAGCTATCAAAGCTTCTAGATGGACAGTCAGGGTGATGTGGAGAAAAAAACAAACTAATAATATTAGGAAGCATCTTTTTATGTACATTTATGAGATCTACCAGCAGGTGACTCCATTCTAAAATATCTGTTTTTTCATAGAATAAAATGCTTTCTTTCCTACACCCTGATCATCATCATAATGCCCCACTCTGAAAAAAAACAGTGTTAAATAAATAGCACTTTCACTTAAGCTATGAACTATTTCTTTCTGAATAACACATGAAATTGAATTAGAGAGATTCGGTGATTTCCAGAGCAGCCTGATCTGTTCCTGTCTAATCAGACCTGATTAATTCAAATCAAACTGCAAACCTCAGTTTTATTTTGCTTTAAAAACTTGAGATCAACAACAAGTCAGCAGTATGTAGATATCACAGAAGCAGTTAACACAGAAAGCCTACAGACACCGACTCTCATAGAGTCAAATGGATGTGATTAAACATTTGGCATCATTTATTAATATTTTATATATTCAAATATATACAGAGCACATAGGACCAGTCAGAGAAATGCTCTTCATCGGGGACAATTATATTTATGCCTAAGAACAGGAGATCCAACTTAGGTGTCAAAGGGTGTTTCTTCAAAACAGAAAAGTTATTAACAAATCATAGGGTTATGTGGGAGGGTTTGTAACACAGAACTGCACTAAACCATGCAATGATCTACACACACAGTCAAAGTGTTCGTGTGGTACTGAGCACAGCAGAATAAATTAAGTAAGATAAAACGAAACAAAACAACCTCACAAATGCAAGGCTGCAAATGCAGAACAGGCAGCCGTGCAAGGGGTATTTCAGAGACTTACTGAGCCATTATTCCTGTGGCACGTGGGCTCAGAGAGGCTCCCAGACCTGACCAGTCTAATCCACATCAGCCGGGCAGACGCGGGGTCGGGAGGCTGACTGTGGACTTGGGCGCTTGGCACAGCTGTTTTCCTTAGGTGCAATCCGCTTGTCACTAGTGGTGGCACTCTGCCTTTGCTGTATGGCAGCATATGTGCTTGCCACGTTTGGGACCCATTATATCTCCTTCCCCTGCAGCCACTTCCCTTCCCTTCTCGTTAGCTGCATGTCCATATATTCTTCCCTGCTCTCCCGCCACATCGCAGTGCCAGCTCTTTGCCCCCTCTGCTTGCTCTGCCGACTGCACACACTGCCTGTGCCAGGGACAAGCTTCCCATATTCCAGCCATCTGGAGATGGGGCAGAATTTTGATATACACTGCCAAATTTGCATATACATATGCACATGTGTGTGTGTATCTCTACACGTACATACAGACATGCTCTATAAGAAATCATATCTATTCCATCTCTGAAACACTCACCTGTTCAGAAATAGTTTTGCTACCAGGGAGAGCACACAGAGACAGAGAAAAGTTGAAGAACAGCCAAGGAAATCTTTTAAACGTGGTGAAAACCCAAACTAAAAGCAAAGGTGGAAAAAAGGGAGGGGATGGGCTATACGTTCACGTTTCAGCCTCTGCAATTAAAAGCCTAGTTACTGCACTAGCACATACCCATTAGTAAATGCTGATATATTGGCTTGCAGATGAAGCAGTACCTGACTGCCTGCCCAAAGAGGCACTTAAATGTTTCCGCTTGCTTTGTACACACAGGACTGACTGCAGGACTCATTTTTGCTCAGCGTTGGGTCACCGCATACGACAACAACAGTTAAGAAGAAATTTGGTTGATGTCTCATTTTGAAGGGCTCTACTACTGCCAGCCTCCTGACTCCAGGTACACACAGTTTCCTACCAGCATGCTGGGACACAGGTACAAGGGAAAACATCTCCAGTGTGGAGAGATGAGCTTGCCCAGGTGAGTTCACACTAAGCAGTGGGAATCCCATGGAGAGTCTTCCTTGGGCTCCCTGCAGGTGTGGGTGTGCAGCCAGTAAAGGAACACTGAGCTTCAGGATAAAGGAGCTTTTCACTCTTTTAAAGAATATTAAAAACGCAGCAGGCTCTGATTCCCATTTATACAGCTATAAAGATGTCCTTGATTACTGAAATTCAGATAAGGTCAGATTTCCTTCTCATCCCCCTCCAAACCAGAGTGTCCCAGGGTTTGGGAGCTTCACACCTGAAGCCAGTCCAGTGGAGATGCCTCTGGGAAATGCAGACCCACATTCAGCTTTTCATTTCCACATACATGAGCAAGTTAAAATCAAATTTCCACTCATAATAAACCTCCAACCTCCAAACTCTAATTAAACAGGTTTTAGAAAACGACAACAAAACAGCAAACAATTACTCAGCTTTGATCTGCTTCTTTTTTCATTAAATTTATCTTTAAGTATTTTCTAAACCTCTCATCCCAAGGAAGCAATCACAAAAACCCATTAGGGTTATTTTTATACAATGGCAAGAACATTGAATTACCTCCCTGATGTAGTTCCTGTCTAGGTAAGCGACACAGCCAAACCTGGATCTGCATGTCCTATACACCTGCTGGTTTAAATGCTACTCCAAGGCAGCAGTTGGGCAAACAATGTTCCAGCTGTGGCCTGGGTGGGCTCATCTCAGGGAATGCCGTTCCTCCCGGCAGCTGCTCTCAGCAGCTCTATCCCTCACCTCATGATTGCCTTGTTCAGCAACAGGTCAGCCCAGCACAATCCCTCACCTACTCCCAGGCTCCCTAAGTACCAGTGACAGAGGATGAACCATCTCTGGCTTTCTCTGCAGCCCCACTACATTAATGAACAGCATTGCACAAAAAATTGCTGATGACAACTAAATCTTTTCATAAATCATGATCCTTTTGGACATGTTCCTCCATTCTCCCACCCTCTTACACATAAACAGGGAGAAGGTTTAGGAAAACCAAAAAAAACCAGGGTAATTTTGGTCTTTTCTTTGAGGCAACTATTCGTGAATCAGCTCAGGAAATCAGTCTGCTCACTTTGGGATGCACTTTTGAGGCAGGTGACTGAACAGAAAGAGAGAGAGAGACCATCCAGAGATAAACCAGAGACAGGTTTTCCATTGGTACCTGTTGCTGCAGGAAAACTCACAGCTGGGTCAGCAGAGGTGAAAGGATGGAAAATGCCTGTCCATTTAACATAAATAGTTACACCATGCACATACATTTCGTGCCATCTCGCTGCCCTCAGAACCCTCAGGAATGTTAAGTAGGTAGGAGGCCCCTCTGAGCAGGGAGATGTCCATAGCTCAGGGCAACACTCCCAAAAAACAGCCTGTGGGGCTAAGAAGGTTTTGCAAGCAACAAACGTGATGGACTTTTTATTCACGGCCACCCCTGACAGAGCAGCTGATCCTCAGCACGGCAGCGGGGACAAGGTACCCGGAGGCTGTGCAAGTCCCACCCAAGGGGGAATGAGGTGAGGATGCTCCACCTTGCTTTGCTTTGCTCCACCTTCTGAACAGAAAGGTTCTGCTTCTTGGGTGAATTTTTGTTCAGCAGCCCCCAGCCACGCCATGGGAGCAAAAACTTTGAAACCTCCTGGCTGAGGAGCCTGGCAGTAAAGCTCCAACCTGTGACCTGGGTCGAGGTTTTATCAGCCATCAAGGAACAGCTCTTGTAGTACATGAACGGCCAACTCAACTGCTTGGAGAAAGGAGCTGATTCAGGCTGCCAGTATTGGCTCTTACACAGATAATAAACTAGACTGGCCTTTCTCCTGACATCACACTTCAATCAAAAACTTTCTCGCAAAATGTCACTTTCAAAGTTGCAGCTTTAAAAAAAAAAAAAAAAAAGAAAAAAACTCTTTATAAAAAATTCATGGCCACAATGATCTGATAATGCAGCTTTCTGATACCAGCAGATGTTTTGTCTAACATGTTCCCTGAAGCTGTACTCTGTGCCTTCATATCTTTCATTTCCAGTTGCTATCTGCTGACTGTGGGATGTCATGTACGTACCCTATAGCGATGCACAGCAATTCGCATCTCACACCGCCGTGCGTAATGAGCTTCACAAGATGCTTGTCGCAATAACTCCGCACTTCCCCAACCATATGGAACACAACACTCCAAAGCCCACAGACACTTTTTTTTATTACAGTTCAGATCCTTAAAACATAATCTGTGTGATGTCTAGTGAATGTACGTGAAGAGCTGCTGAAAACAAAGTTAACACTTGTTCACATCATCTGTTACAAATGTCCAATTTGGGACAATAAATTTCCTCGGAACCTGTTCTTTTGCTGACTCGTTGCTTTATCTTTTTTCTCTTTCTCTCACGTCGGTTTTTTTATGAACTATGCATATGTATTAAATGGGATTTGTTGTCCCTAGATACCAATTTGCATAAAGTGCAAGCCATCATTGGTTGGAGAGAAGCAAATTACTTCTCCAGCAAGATCACACTTCTTTTTTTTTTTTTCTTTTTCCTTTTTTTTTTTTTTTTAATTTTAACAAACCGCAGGCAGAGGCTGTTAACAGCACTTAGCCAGATATGCAAAGTATCACTTTTCTCAAAAGCAGCTTGATCAATGAGCAAAAAAAAAAAAAAGAAGAAAGGGAAGGTATTATTCAGTTAAGTACAATGCAGAAATGTCCCAAGACTGAAGCTGTTCACCTGTAACTTGAGCTACCTGATTCCCAGTTAAATACAATCCCAGTATGGCTTAGCACTTGGGACACAAAGCAAAACAGCCTGACTGAGCAAAGCCTCTCAGGATCA